AGCTGCTCCAGCCCTCTGGGGGTGGTGTCCCTTCCCATGGGGACTGGTCAGTGCCTGCAGAGTAGTTCCACCCATATAACTTGGGGCATGTGGCCAGAGCAGGTGCTGGCTGCATGCCAGATGTTTCCCTGTGCCTCTGTCTCTCCTAGATGGCAATCATCGTGCTGGCCGTCCTGCTCTTCCTGGCTGCCATGCTCTTCATCCTCATGAACTGGTACTACCGGACAGTGTGAGTAACTCTTGGGCTCTGCTCAGCCTCTGCAATGTCCCCTTAGACCAGGGGGAGCAGCGTGGCTTCTCCTGGCCGTGGAAATGCCAGCAAGCAAAGGAGGGCATCAACTTCCAAATGCCTCTTCCTCCAAAATGCCTGGTTTTAATACTCATGGTATTAGTACACCTCCCCTCAAAGCTCCCTTATTTAATATTCAACATTTAATGCACCCTCTGTATGCAGGGTCATTGCAAATCTATGTGTCCTTCTGCTTTCCAGCATGTTCCTTATTTTCTACCCCAGCTGGCTGTGTTTCTTTTGCAGGCATAAAAGGAAATTGAAAGCCATCGTGGCTGGCTCCACTGGTGAGCAGTGTTTGGGGTGTCCCAGCAGCATGGGAGAGTTGGGGTGCATGAAGAGCATGGAAGGTGGCCACAGGGAGACATGGTGGGGATGTCATGGGGTGTATATCAGAGGTGATCCTGCCCAGCGAGGTGTGATGGTGGGAGGCGTGGAGGGTGGCCACAGGGAGACATGGGGGATGTCATGGGGTGTATATCAGAGGTGATCCTGCCCAGCGAGGTGTGATGGTGGGAGGCTTTTCTCAGCTTCAAGCTCTGTGTTACCTGCCACACCCTACCGTGTTTCTCACTGCCTTTTTGGTTCCTCTTCATCCCTCCCTAATAAAGAAATGTCACCCCATGGTTTGCTGCTAAGCCCAGCAATGTGCTGCCCTGTAACTCTCATCCCTGCCTTTTGCAGGGAACAGAGGCTTCATGGACATCATGGACATGCCAAACACCAACAAGTACTCCTTTGATGGGTGAGTGCCACCTCCTGGGGCTGGAGGCTGCTCCCAAGAGAGGGATGCCTGTGTTTCAGAGCCAGGAGGTGGAGACATGATGTCTCTCTGCTCTGCTCTGCTCTGCTCTGCATGAGGCACTACTGATCCTGGGACACATGCTCACTCTGAGAGCTTTCTAAGCTAAAAAATATCATTCTTTCTTTTGTGACTCCATCTCTGCCAATCCTGGCCAGGTTTGGGGTAAGCAGAGATAATGGGCAGGGTTTCACACCCATCTGGATCCAGAGCAGCCAAATTCATACCTGCACAGAGCAGGAGGAGGCAGTACAGCCTCAGCATGTACTGCCCCCCGGCTCTGGACGGGGTTAGGGATAACGCCGCTCTTTGCCTGCCCTGATGGCTGTTCCTCCCCCCGGGCAGGGCCAACCCGGTGTGGCTGGACCCCTTCTGCAGGAACATGGAGCTGGCGGCGCAGGCGGAGCACGAGGACGACCTGCCGGAGAACCTGAGCGAGATCACCGACCTCTGGAACAGCCCTGCCCGCACCCACGTGAGACACGGCCCCGCCGGGACACCGTGTCCCCGCGGCTGCCACCCCCGGCAGCTCCTGAGCCGCTGTCCCCTCCCGCAGGGCACCTTCGGCAGGGAGCCCTCCGCCGCCAAGCCCGAGGATGACCGCTACCTGCGGGCAGCCATCCAGGAGTACGACAACATTGCCAAGCTGGGGCAGATCATGCGGGAGGGACCCATCAAGGTGAGCGCTGAGGGCAGGCGTGCTGCACCCAGGAGTCTTCTTCTCTCGCAGCTGCACCTTCCAGGTTCACAGCGCCAAAGGGTGGTGTCGCTCCAAAAAATGCTGGGGTGGGGCCAGCCTCCCTCTGAGCAGCCCATCTCCCCTGGATAACCCACAGTCTCTCCCCCTCCACCCAGGGCACTCTCCTGAAGGTGGTCCTGGATGATTACATGCGCCTGAAAAAGCTCTTTGCCCAGCGGATGGTGCATAAGGCCACCGCCAGTCAGGGGGACCGCTCCTCGGTCTCGGAGGTAGAGGGTGTGCATGGCTCTGGGGAGGTGCTTGCCGTGCCCTCTGGGATGCAGTGTGTCTTCCTGGCCCCACAGGCTGTGGTCACTCCCTGTGGCTGTGGTCCCTGTCACCCAGTGGTGCCCCCACTCTCTGCTTGGTCAAAACAAGCCAGATATCGGTTTTCCACTGGTTCCCACTGCTGTTTTTTCACTGGTTTTCCAGGCTGCTAGTTCCCCACAGTGACTCTCTGTGCTTCCTCTGATCAGTACACAGCACCTCCTCCCTTGATCTTTCTGACCCCAGGAGAGGACACCCCTCTTTGCACACTGGGCTCTGTCCATCAGCTCCCATTTCTGCCAAGGCTGGCCAAAGCTTCCCTTCCTTCTGCTTCTCTGGTTTTTGCCTCAAAAACACAGGGTTTTGAGGCAAAAATGCTGGGATGGAGAGTGTTGGTGCAGAAGGGCTGGTTTGGGGAGAAGAAACTCCTCCTGTGGCCTTGTGGGGGAGCATCTTCTCTTCCTTCTGCTTCTCTGGTTTTTGCCTCAAAAACACAGGGTTTTGAGGCAAAAATGCTGGGATGGAGAGTGTTGGTGCAGAAGGGCTGGTCTGGGGAGAAGACACTCCTCCTGTGGCCTTCTACCTTTCACAGGGGTGCAAAATGAGGGGCAAAGAGGGCAGAGAACAGCAGTGGGATGGGAGATGCCTTTCAGCCCTTCTGCCCTCCATCTATCCATGCCCTTATCCCCCTTCAGCCTCATCCAGCCTTCCTTCATCTTCTTTCCCTCTCTGCCTCCTGCCCCTCCACCCTCATACAACCCCAAATTCCAACCTGGGTCCAAATCCTCCTTGGCCACGCTGGGGACAGCTGCAGGACACACCACCCATCTGGCAGATGGTGCCTGAGCTGGGGCATCTGCCCGAGGATGGAGCGATCCAGCTGGAGGCCGTCTCCTGGTGATCCTCATCACCAAGCTCTGAGCGTGCTTCAGAAGAGGAGGGCCCTTCCCTCTGGCTGGACTCCAGCATTACAGGAGTCAGGGAAGCCAGGAGCTGCTGTGGCCATGGTGGTGATTCCCTCCCTCCTCCATGGCTCTCTTGCAGCTGATCCAGAAGGAGCTGGAGGACGAGGAGGAGGAGCGCAGCCCCAGCCAGGGCAGCCTGCGCTTCCGCCACAAGCAGCCGGTGGAGCTGAAGGGTCCCGACGGCATCCATGTGGTGCACGGCAGCACGGGCACGCTGCTCGCCTCCGACCTCAACAGCCTGCCCGAGGACGACCAGAAGGTGCTGGGTCGCTCGCTGGAGACTCTGACCGCCGACTGCGGGGGCTACAGCGACCACAATGCCCGCACCGAGTCGGCCAAGTCCACCCCGCTGCACAAGATGCGGGAGGTGATCATGGAGAGCCCTCTGGAGATCACCGAGTTATGACGAGCGGTGCTGCCGCCGCTGCTGCTCCTCTAGGCGAGCCGGGGCCGGCGGGGATGAAGCACAGAGCAGGGGGGCCGTGGTGGGGGCCGGGGGCAGCCCGAGACCGGTGCTTGGCCCCCTCTTTCCCTGCAGGAGTCCAGGCTAGCCGGTGCAGATGGCTCCGGCAGCCTTGGAGAGCTTGGCCCCGGCAGAGGGCTCTCAGGACCGGAATGCTTTTACTCGCCTGTCATTTATCCATGAAACCATTAAATTTTTTTTATTTTTCTTATTAAAAAAAAAAAAAAAAGTTTTTTTTCTAAAAAAAAAAAAAAAACAAAAAGGGAAAAGAAAAGCTAAATTAATCTGATGAGTCCAGACTGGACAGGGGGGAAGGTGCAGTGAGGATGCAGGTGATGTGCTGCCACAGCAACCCCAGGCACAGGCCGGGGACAAGCAGCTGTCACACCTCGACCACGAGCATGGGGAGGACCAGGGAAGTGTGGGGAGAGACCGAATCCTTTTGGCATTAATGTCACCTTTCCAGTAAGGAAAGACCCAAAAAATTAAAAAGAAAAGAAAACCCAACCCAAAGACATTCCTCCATTTTGCTGGCTTTACCAAAACTTGTTGCGATGTCAAAAAAGAGAGAGACTAACTGAGGCTTCTGGATGTCGAGTACTCGTGCGTGTCTTTTGTTGCCCTTTTCTTTCCCCTTCTCTCTTGCATTTGGGTTTGTTTGTTCGGGGGTTTGTTTCCAGTCGTAACCTTGTGGAGAGTTTCGGGCACGGTCTGTTACGGGACTCAGAAATACACTGTCTATGGCTTTGGGTAACCTGTCTGTCGTCCTTCCTGCCCACATCCATCAGGCCCAAACCCCCTTAGGAAGAGAAGATCCTCTTTTAACTCACCCCTCAATCCATCACCTTCACGAGGTGCCACCCTGGGTGTTGCTGCACCTTGGATTTTGGGGGAAGCATTAAATGTTCTCCGGGTTTGCCCACAGTCCCATTGCAGCGCCCAGCACAAGGAGGAAGGACACAACCAGCCAGGCTCACGGGAAAAATTTATTTGTGGTGGGATGCTCCCATACACGCCCAGGATCAGGCACTGCGGGCATCCCCCCGACACGGCGGGGAGGGACGAGCCAGCACCCCGCTGCCCTCACCACCACGGCTGGGTCAGCACAGGACCCCCAGCAGGGATGGGCGTGTGAAAGGAAATCCTGGCACCCAAACTCATTCATTTTATGTTCAGGTGAGGCCGCCGCCAGCCAGCAGTGGGGGGCCAGCGTTTGGGCAGCAGAACCCAGCCCAGCCCACGGGGACAGATCCACATTGCAGGATCTGAGCCGTACGAGTGGTTCAGGGTGGGATGGAGAGGTAGAGAAGGGATTGGGAATGGAGATAGAGGTGGGAATAGAGGTTGGGGATTTTGCAGTCATCCTGAGAGACGTCAAGGCTGAATCCCTAGTCCTGAAAATATTAACGAGTCCCTTAACCTGATTTGGAAATCCAAGCCCCAGGAGTGGAAGAGGAAGCGGCCGAGGCCGCTGGGGTTCCCCGCAGCCCCGCCGGCGCGACGAGGCCGGTTGGCTCCTGCCATTGCCGTCTGTGAGTGCAGGCACGTCCCAGGGAAGGGAGCCAGGATCCCCAGCCAAACGGCAGAGCAAGTCCAGCCAGCTGGGGAGATGGCTCCTAGTTCCACACGTGGCGCCGGCAGTGTGCGACGGCCTGCAGGAGGGACAGGGATGGCGTGGGATGCGGGGACCGCCGGCACGGCACCCTCCGGCCCCAGGGAGGGGACACGGCCGGCACTTACACTGCACTCGACCGCCGTGGCCATGTTCTTGCACCAGTACTGCGGGCCCCAGACACAGGGGGCCGAGCCCAGGAGATCCTCCTTGCCTGAGTCACAGGCTTTGATTTTCTGCATTGCAAAGGAAAAAGGTGGGAGGGAGAGGAAGAAAACCTCCATGAGGAACGTCTGATCACCCCAACCCTCTCCCAGCCCGCAGGCTTGGACAAAGGAGGCCCATCTTGGCCAGGGCCGCCCCAGGGATGAAGACACTCACAGTGCAGACGAAGGTGGGGTCCATCATCTGCACGAAGAGCCGCACGGCCGCCGGCTCGTACTGCAACACGAGCGCCTGGCACTGGGAGGGAGAGAGGGGTGAGCCCGGCGGGGGCGGCGGGGGTGGTTCTGCTGGCCTGGGTGTGCCCCCTCAGCTCACCTTGCTGGTGAGCGGCATGGGCAGCATGGCGCAGCCCTTCTCCAGCACCTCGCCCAGCTCCTCCAGCGTCTTGTTCTTCAGCAGCTCGTTGTCGAAGTAGGTGACGAGGATCTGGCAGACGTTGCAGAAGGCGCCGGCGCTCACCGCCAGCTGCTCCGGGGATTCGGCCCCTGGAGGACACGGCCATCAGCACATCAGCACCAACGGAGGGGACGCCCCGCTGCCCGGGCTCGGGGTGCCAGCTCACCGTGCCGGGTGTCCCCGCTGCGGGGGCAGCAGCGCACCATGGTGCAGACGGCCGCGGGGTCGGTGGCCTCCAGCAGCATGATCACCACGGCCTTGCCGTAGGAGTTGACGAAGTCCTTGCACTGCCCGATGACGCCGTGGGGCAGCATGTAGCACACCTTCTCGATGTCATTCACCAGCTGCTCCTGCCGGCACAAGGCGGAAGAGGGAAACCCCGGCTCCCTGCTGCCCCTTGGCCCCCTGTGCCAGCCCCCAGCAGCGGTGGGGCTCACCTCTGTCACGTTGTTCTCCAGGAGGCTCTCGACTGTCTTCACGGTGAACTGGCACATGTCACACAGCGGAGTGCTCCACACCCTGTCCTGTCAGGACAAGGGGATAGGATGTATGCCAAGCGCCCCAGAGCCACCCTCATCCTATTCCACCATCATCCCCACGTAAGGCATTCCCCACCTTGGATAAACAGAGGTGAAATAAAATACAAAATGAGGCTCCCTCTTTACAGTGTTTGGATTTCAAGGAGCACAGCACAATTGAGGGGGTCCCCACTTACCCCCAGCATGCTCAGGGCCTGCATCAACCTCTCTGTGAGCAGCGTGTGGAGGGGCAGCGCTGAGTTGGAGGCACAAAGTCCCAGCTGGCCACACAGCTCCGTTGGGGCCTGGGGAGAGAGACATCCCAAATCAGGCAGGCTTTGGCACCTGGGAGGGGAACTTCAGTGCATCAGGGCACGGATCTCACTTACCTCAGCCTGCTACCGGTGGAGGGGCCAGAAAATGGCAAGAAAAGATGAAAACAAAACATAATTTCAGCAGACGCAAGGCAGAGAGGAGGGGAAAAACAAATCAATATTTTGTAGGAATATTAGGCAGTGAGCTTAAAAAAAAAAAAAAAGGGAGCATTTGCTGATGAGGCCCCTTGGCTGTGCCACTCAGGCCCCCAGCTGGCACCCAGTGACCCCTGGCACTCCCGGGGAGCCCTCAGCCTCTTACCAGGTAGTGCAGCAGCTGGGCAGCCGTGTCCACGTACTCGGCCAGGGAGCGCTTGCACTGCGGGAGGGAAACAGCGTCAGGGCCCGACCTGGCCACACCTCCCGGGGCAGGCATCTGCAAGAGGTGCTCCCATCCAGGAGGAGAAGGCAGCACATCCCTGGAAGTGTCCAAGGCCAGGCTGGAAAGGGCTTGGAGCAGCCTGGGATGGCAGAAGGGGTCCCTGCCCATGGTGGAATGAGATTGTCCCTAAGGCCCCTCCCAGCCCAAACCCTGCTGGCCCCTCACCCGCTGTGCCAGGTCGGGTGTCAGGGTCTCACAGACCCTCTTGGCGTGGCCCACCAGTGCCCAGGTGAAGGCAGTGTTGGTCCCCAGCGCCTGCTGCACGGCCGTCACCAGCTGCAGGCAGTGCCCGCACACCTCCTCCATCTCCTGCAGGGTAACAAGGGCAGGGACATGTTGGTACCCCCAAAATAAAACCAATCCCCCCACCCCCAACCTGCATTTGCTGGGCTGGGATTTAAACACTAGCTGCAATTTGGGGCAGCACTCTGACCGGCATCGCTCATTTCCCTCCTGCATCCTGAAATATCCCCCCAAATTGGCAACACTGCCAGCCAGAAGTCATTTCATCTCCGCAGAAATTTTAGGGGCTTTCTCTAATTGTTGTTAAGTAGGTGATACTTTTAAGGGGATTCTCACCCCTGAGCAGCATTAGGATGCTGGCACAGATTGTCCAGAGAAGCTGTGGCTGCATAATTCCTGGAAATGTCCAAGGCCAGCTTCAATGGGGCTTGGAGCAACCTGGACATGTTCCCTGTTCATGGCAGGGATTTGGAATGAGATGATCTGCAAGGTCCCTTCCCACCCAAACCGTCCCATGGCTCCATGACCAGCACCATCCTTGCCTGTGCCACGGTACCTGGGCCTCGCTGTGAGGCAGATCCTGGGGATGGAGCAGGAGGGGCACGTTGGCCATGAAGGGGGCAATGAGGTCAGCAAAGTCCTGGGTGGGGCCTGTGGCAGCTGGTGGTGGCTGCTGATACTTCAAGGTCCCCGTGGGTCTGTTCCGGCGCTGGCACAACTTGATGGTCCCACACACCACCTTCGGTTCTGACTGGGGGAGCAGAGGGGTGGGGTGGGGGCTTGAGGCTGCACCTCCCCCGTCACACCCAGACCCCACCCACCCCCACCCTGGGTCGTTCCCCTCTCCATCTTGTCCTTCAGATGGTTTGTCCCAGGCTCTAGGAGCATTCTTTGCTCTGCAAGCCCCCAGGACATCCCAAACTGTGGAAAAACCCAAACCTGGGGCTTCCCCTGCATTACCAGCACTTGCTTGCCCAGCTGGACAAGGACGAGGATGCCCGTGTCCACCATCCTCTTGCACTTGACAGACCAGTCCTGGAAGGGCAGGTACTGGCATCTCTTATCCAAGAAGAGCCTCAGCTTCTCCTGGGGGACAGAGAGAGAGGTCAGGGCCTCAGTGGGGTTGGCAGGGAGGAGCACCAGCCCCACTCCCCCTTCCCACTGAGACCCACCTCAGTGCGGTTGTCCTGCAGGATCTTGCCCACCACAGAGACTGCCACCTGGCACAGGTGACAGGGGATCCCCTTCTGCTGAGACAGAGGGGGGACACGTCGGGATGCTGTCACGGCACCCAGACCCTCCCCAAATCCCAATCCTCCACCCAAAAAACACCCCGTGTGAACGTCCCGGGGGCACCCATTGGCTTCTGCCATTCGCTCTGCAGACGCGCTGCTGCGGGATGCGGGATGCGGGATGCGGGATGCTGGGGTGGGTGGGCGGGGATTCTCCTGCCATCCCCGTGTTCTGGGGCAGACGGGCACCTCTCCCGCAGCCCCCCGCATTCCCTGCTCCCAGCTCGGTTACCCCCAGCGCCCGGTCCCACGCCGTGAGCCGGCAGAGCTCCAGCGCCCCGCACTTGGCCGCGGTGGCCGCGTCGCGGCACCAGTCCTCCGGCCGCTCGCCACACTCGTGGAGGGGGCTGGCCCCGGCTGTGGGAGGGGAGAGGAGACTGTCAGCCCTCAAGGCACCCCAAGACCCCAAACGAGCGATGCTCCTCGCCCTCCTGCTATGATTCCACCTCAGTCCCAAAGTCGTGGAGGAGGAAGGGGGTGTTTCATTAATAAATGATTTTTTAAGGTCGGTTTTGCCAGGCTGCCAGCTTTCCCAATGGGATGTCACAGGGTCAGAAGCAAAGGGGATTTGAGGCTCATCCTCAGCCTCTCAGCATACTCTGACAAGCTGCGGAGGCGGCTGCTTATAAAAGCAGCAATAAATCTTGCAAAACGGGCAAACCCGGGGCGCCGGCGCTCAGCCCAGCACGGTAGCCAGATAATCACGCCACGGCTCCCGGCAACGATTGAGCAACCCCACTTTTGGTGGGGTTCTTTTGGTTTTATTTCCTCCCCACGACAGCATTTTCTCCCGGCTGTAAATCCCCGGCACGGCAGCATGGCCCGCCCCGTGGCGCAAGAGCAGCGCTTTAATTGCCACCTTGGTGTGTCAGGACTCATTCGGGATGGGGCCAGTGCTTGTTTGCACCGGGAACTGTGCCCACCCAGGATGCGGCTGGGGAGGAGGGGCCAGAAGGCACAAGCCAAGCCCTTCGCCGCCTTGGCCTCCCTTGGCCGGGAGCTGCTCCGGGAATTTGGGGGCAGCAGAGCAAAGGGACAGACAGACCCTGCTGCAGGGCTTTAAGCAAGAGGCGTTTCTAAGCAAAGCACAACCCTCCCCGGTCCGAGCACTTGCATCCAGCTTTTATCCCTCAGCCCTGTCTATGATTTTGCAGAGCAGGAATAAAGTCAAAGGCAGAAACTGCTCTTTCCACCCAACCCTGCCCTTATCGGGCTTCTCCCCAAAGCCGCTTTCCTTTCCCTGCACTCTGGATTTTGGCAACGCCTCCGGCTCATCCCTGAGACTGCAGCGTGAGGTGCCCATGGAAAGTCCCGGGGGCTGGGGGTTGTGGGGAGAGGGGTCCCCAGCCCCCCGCACCATCCCCGCCTGCCCCAGAAGAGCTGGCGCACCCGGCGGTGCCGGGCGGTGTTTCAGCCCCGATTTCCCCATCGGGCTGACAGCAGCGCTGGGGCAGGCGGGCCCCGGGGCAGGGCGAGTCCCCCCGGGTTCCCAGGCTTCCCACACACCTTCCCAGCTGCGCGATGCCGCGCTCGCCGCATCAGCTGAGAGGGATATATTTATGTTTTTCAACCCTGGCCCCAGCATCAGGGCAAACAGGAATGGCAAGTCAGCGGAGGCATTAAGGGGCAGCACCAAAACCAAGGAGGCGGGAGACAACAACCCCACAGCTTTTTTCTGATCTGGTCCCGCAGCATCTGTCACGGAGCTGTGTTGGAGCCCGGACCCCGTGGTGGGGTGGGGAGGATCTAAAAGACACGGGTGGTTTGGTCCTGCACTTCCCTGGCTCGCAGAGATCCTCAGCTCAGCACTTACCCCTCACCCTGCTCAAGCTGAAAGTCAGGCAGCAAGTTCTGGGCCAGAAAGTAATTAGGACTAATCATAACACCCAGCAGCTGAGAGCAGGGGGAGCTTCCCCAGGTGGAAAGCACTGCCACGGGGTAAGCAACTGGGGCACCTGGTGTCCCGTGAGCTCTCCTACACGTCTCAAAGCCGTGTGCTGGAGCTGCCTCATGCTGTCAGGCACACAGGCAGCAGCCTTATTAAATGATGCCATTTTTGGGAAAGGAGCAAGGCAGGGATGCTCCCGTGCCACTGCGGTTCCAGGCCAGCCACAACTACCCTATTCCTGTCTGCCAGGCCCGGGGCATGGGGTGGGCTTCGCTCAGGGGGGATCCAGCACCGAGCTCCAGCTCTGGCAGGGCTGTGCTGGCATTCCCCGGAGCGCCCCGGCCGAGCCGGCCGAGCCTGGCGAGCCGGTTGTGACATAAACCCCGGGGGTGGCAGCGTGGGCCCCAGCGCCCCAATTCCCGGCCTGGCGCACGCCCCTGTTACAGCAAGAACCATAAATACACTTTTCCCAGCTCGCAAAGCCTTCTCTCCAAGGCTCGCAGGGTCCCCGGTGCCGCAGCACCCCCGCGCCGTGCGGCCGAGCCCCGCCGGCTCCCGGGGCAGGCGGCACCGCGGGGCTCGGACGTGCCGAGCACAGGTGAACTTTCCTGCTCTGCCTGTTGCTGGCTGGAACACCCGGACACGTCCCCGCCAGCACGGGTCACGCGTGTGCACCCACAAAACCTGGGCATGTCATGTTGGGGATGCCCAGTGGCCAAGCCTGGGGTAACTGGGGTGCGAGGGAGGCTCTTCACTCTAAAACAGGGGGGGTTTGCTTGCAAGAGCAGAGCTCATCTTATTCCAGGGGAGATGTCCCCAGGAAGCAGCGATCTGCCCTCAAGCAAGGAGCAGGGGTTGGAAGCAGGCCTTCCCCAGCTTGGTTCCTGGGGATGGATGACTAAGGGACAGCAGCAGAGGTTTGCCTGCAGGAGGATTCACTCACAGATACCCAAGTGCCAGTGCTGAGAGGGCTCCTGAGGTGAGGAGAGATCCCCATCACCCCATCAGCCTTCCTGGAGCTCAGCAAGCCACAGCAGAGCCAACTTCCTGCCTCCTGTATCTCCTAAGAGGACCCTGAAGAGAAGGGCAGCTTCATGGTCACACTGTTGTGACAACCAAGCACCTTCCTCCAGCTCACACATCAACAGCCAGGCCCCAAAACCAAGGGCAGTAGAGAGAGCAGCCCCTCTCCCCCACTCTGTCACAGCTTCCCTCCTTCCACATCCCAGCACACCACCAGCTGCACCTGAATCCCAGAGAGGGGAGGGAACAAACCCCTTTTGCCCTGAGATCACCTTTACAGGCCAAAGTTCCAACTCTCAGCTCCAGGTGGGTAGCACAGACAGTGGTACCACCTTCCCCAGCTCTCCTCTGCCCAACTCCAACACCAGAGGAAGCACATTATGGAGCTTAGACACCAAAGCTGGGATGTTTTGGGATTCAGCAGGGTTTTCTGGGCTGTCCACATCCTACCTACCTCCAGGCCTGGCCTTACCTTGGTAGGAGCCCAGGCACACAGAAATGATCAGCACCAAGCCACTCCATTTGCTCTCCATGCCGTTCCTAAGAGTCCTCAGTGGCTGGCTCCTCTCCTATGCTGCTCCCAGACTGAGGAATCTTGGATGGGCTGGGAGAAGCAGTGAGAATCCACACCTACGCAGGGCAATTACCACACCCCTCACTTTATGCCTTGATTATAAAATCATCACCAGGGAGGGAGGGACCAGAGGCAGGCAGGTATTCCCAGGAGGTCAGAAGCAGCCCAGAACCTGCTGCTCAGCGCTCACCTGGCTGCGGAGGGTGGGCACGCACAGGGAGAACTGGCCCAGAGCCACGTGACAGCCCCTTTGAATGACACTTTTATATTTTCTTTCTCTGCCTTTGAATGACATTTTTATACTTTATTTGGAATCAGGCAGGGAATGAGGACACAGGGGAAGCCACATTAAGCGCGAGTCAGCAGGGAAGGCCGGTATCAAGAAGTCCCTCTGGCCTGCGCAAGGCAGCGATTGCAACACGGGGCTGTTGCCTCACACCAGGCGTTGTGTTTGTCCAGGGGAGAGAGAGACAGCAATCCCAGGCAAGCCTCTTCCACCTGCAACCCTGCTCAGCAGAACAAAGGCTTGATGGGACACGCAGCGTAATGGGAACCTGAATCCATTCAGTCCCAGATTCCCAGGGACACCTTGGGATGTGCCTTCTCCTGGCCAAGCAGCCAAGGGGAACCTCAACAAGAACCTTTGCCATGGAGAAAAATGGAACATGCAAATTTATGGGTTTACAGAAGTTTTTATTGTTCATTAAGGAAGCTTTTGTGCAAAAAACAAACAAAAAAAACCCCAAAAAACAAAAAAGAAAAAAAAATCAAGATGATGTTCTTTAGAAAGCAACTGCACAGTGTCCCCCCAGCATGACTCAAGCAGGTTGGGTGCCACAGTCCACAGGAAGGGAGAAAACTAAAGGGACTCCCAGCAGCAGCACAGGACTTCCCCTGGTTCAGCTTGCCCAGCATGAGTCCTACTAAAAACCCCAGGAAAATAAAACCTTCCCACCAACCTGCCAAGCTGTCAATGCAGCCCCACCTCCCCCCAGTTTAAAACACCAAATGCCACGCTCTGTGCCGTGGTGTCACACAACCCGTCCCTCCAGGGCAGCACTGCCCAAGGGACAGAGCCCATCTCCTATCTGCTCTATCTGGGATACACCACCAAACCACTGCACAAGCCTGCCAGGACAGAAAGCTGCAGGTATTTTATATCTTTAGGGGAAATTTTCCTTTCTTTTCCTCTTGTTTAAAGCCATGAGTGCTTCAGTATTCAGGAAACAGGGGAGAACAACCTCTGTTGCCATCTGTCAGCACTGGCCAGGCTTTTAGTATGCACACAGTTCAACTAAAAACCTGCAGTCCAGTGGTTTTCCAATGAAAAATACTCTACTTGCTGCTACAGCATTGTTACTGGAGCTCCTGCATGCCCCACACACCACAGGAACAGCAGGAGTTACAAGCATCCTTCTGAACAGGACTGGAATTTTCAAAGCTCTGCATCTGCCCAGCTGCTCCTTGCAAAGGTCTCCTCAGAGCTACTTCAGTGCCCCTGCTTTGGGGATTAACTTGATCAGAAGTGCACACCCAATGCAAGGTCCATCCCAAGCAACATAAGCAGGATTCTCACCCCCAAGGACCCTTCACATCAAGGACCTGCCATGTTCCCAGGGTAGCAAGCCTGCCTTGAAGGCTTTTTTGGGGGAGATTTTAGGCCATTTAAGTGGAATTTCAGATAGGTGTGAAAGGCAGGCTGTCAAGTGTGCCAGCAGAGCTTTAAACAGCCACGTTAGTGCTCCTACCACCTGCCATCTCTGCTTGCTGCATTTCCCAACAGAAATGGGAACTTGGGATAACAATTCATACCTCCAGTTACTCAGAAGGGCGTCAGTGAGAGTGGGTGGGCAGCAGTGGGAGGTGCCCCCAGGCCTCACAGCACCTCTCAAGTTTCAGATGACTGAAATATGCTGTGAGAGAAAAAGCAGATCAGGGAACAAACAGGTTACAATAAAACCCGTTTTTCCACAAATTCCACCCTCAGTGCTGAACTCCCTCTGACATATTCCCAGCTCCTGCTGACTTGATCCTCCTCCATCTTCCAGTGACAGCTCATGCTTCCTCCTCAGCACCCAGCTGGCTGCTTGTGGGAAGCTGCAAGACCAAGCAGAATTGAGCAACTAGGATAAGAAAAACGGGAGTCATTCCTCAGGTACACCTGCATGCTTCAGGAAACTGACATCCCACAGGACTGGGCTTGGCAGAACACCCGTGCTGGGACTGAGCAGTGCAAGGAAATCAGAAGGATGTGATCAAAGGCTGAGGGAGGGTTTTCCTTAGCTACAACAACACCATGAGCCACAAGCGTGGTCACTCAAATGCAAAAGGCTGATCACTCCAACATATTTTTTTAATTACCAGTGACTTTGAAAGTTAGCTGGGCACACAAAGCCCACTCCTCTGCATCTGCAGAGCTTTGAAAATTCCAGCCAAAAGGATTCCCAGATTCAACATTATCCCTTAGAGTTCCCACACACAGAAAATAAACATTTCAGCCTGATGTTAAAAATGCAAAGCATATAAAATCTTCCCAACGCTGCCTACAGAAAGACATTTGAAAGTTTAGTTGCTATCTTGCTCTTTTTTTTTTTAAATTAAAAGATAAGAGCCTTGTCTCATTTCACCATCTCTGTCATTCCTCCCAGCACATAAACACTTCAGCCTACCAATTAAAAAAAAAAAATCTACAACACACTGACTATTTTTAGGAGCATAATGGGTTAAACTGTACAATCAGAAATATTTTTGTTAAGTCAACAATGAAAATCTGATCCTTCAACAGCAGCACTGCTACAGAAGAGTTACAACAAAGGAACTTGAAGGTCAAATTGTTAATGAGGCAGAGAGGAGGGACAGGTGAGATACAGCTCTCCGCCAACCTCGGCCCACATTTCCTAAGAGCCATGGCAAAATTTCAGAACTGGAAATTCTTCTTCTAGTTCCACACATGACGTTTGCAGTGATCAACAGCCTAAAGGGGAAGAAATAGCTGATATTAGTGGAAAAAAGCCAGTTTGCAAACAAGCAGTTCAACACCTTATCCTAAGCCAAGATCTTGGGAGCAAAACTGTTTTCCTTAAAGTAAGTGATTTCAAAGAGGGCTAGAATAAATAACATCCTGAGTCCTACCAGCCAGGAGCTTTAGGAAAGAACGCTGATGACCCTTAGCCATTAAGGCCTGGCAGAAATAGCAATACTGGAAGCCAATTTTTAGAGCCTGCTGAGAGATTGTGACATGGTCTGTTGGCTGCAGGAACACTGACTAAATATAAAGCTGACACTGTACCTTACTATAGATTCTGAAATACTGGCAGACAGGTGTGGGACACAAAAAGGAGAGGAAAGTCAGCTTTGAGAAAGCCATGAAGAGCTATGAAACACTCTTTATCAAACTAGTACCCTTTTGCTTATTTTGAACTGGAGTTCATCCACTTTGAAGTGCAGTAGAAGCCAAAAACAGCTCAGAAGGAGCTGTCAGACATCAGAAGGAAACTGGAGGCAGAAGGCTGCTTTACATACATTGCACTGAGCAGCAGTGTCCATGTTCTTGCACCAGTAGCCTGGACCCCAGACACAGGCATCATTCCCCAGGAGAGGCTCTTTAGCTGACTCACACACTCCGAGTTTCTGGGAAAAGAGCAGCAGCACAGTCAGCACCTTCATAAGTGCACCAAGAGATCAAGTCCAGCCTTATGTCTGAGCTTCCACCTGAGGGAGTGTGGAAGCTGCACTGAGGCAGCTGCAGGAGCTCCCACTGAGGTCACACCTGCAGCTGAACCAGCAGCCACGTAACCCGACCCAAGGCAGAGTTAAGTTACTGGAACTCCTTCGTATCAAGTTTTGAAAAACAGATCTTCTAGAGAGGGACCCTTCTCAAGAAATGTCACTTTACCTCCCACACATTCAGGGCACATCACACCCTGTCACTGAACCTCAGCAGTGGATAACCCCTGGCAGCTCTCTCCTGCTGCCCTTCCTTGTTGGGCTGGCAGTCACACAGCTGCCCATTCAGGAAGCCCCAGGCCTTGCACAAGGAGCTTGCTCCAAGCATTCAGCATGCTGATTTTGATTCCAGCAGAGTTTCTGCATGCTGGACACTGAAAGGCACCCAGGACTGTATCAGAGCCTGCCCTCAATAAAACCAAATGCAATACTCACAGTGCAAACAAAAGTGGGATCCATCACCTCCGCCAAGAGTTGCACAACCACGGGTTCATACTGTTCCACAAACTGCACACACTGTAACAAAACACAGGGTGAGAGATTCTCCTGCTGGAGCCTCTGAAAGCAGAGGAATGTGCAGTCTGCAACAGGCAGGCCTGTGTGCTACCCTGAACACCCCAACAACACAATCCACAAGGACAAAGCAGAGGCTTGAGCTCTGCACATGGCAAAGGAGTCAGGCACTAATCACAGTGCTACATCATTGTTTCTGCTAGCTCATACCTGCCTGCAGCTGTCACACTATGAGGAGATAAGGGGTCACAAGGAAAAGAGCCAAACAGGACAGGCTTTGGGAAAAGAGCCAAGCAGAAGAAGCTTTGACTGCAAAGCTTCGTCTCTGATCGTGGAGATCACGCCTGTCTCAAGAGGGAAGCACACGGAACCAGCTGGAGACAAACTTCCTGAGCAGGACAGCAGCAAGGACTCCCAGGCACTTGTATTCAAGTTATTCCCTCAGACAAGGCTGCAGCAGGAGCACTGCCTGCCAGAACAGCCTCTCTCCCTCTAGTGGAGAGGCTCCAGAGCTGAGGAAGATGCTGCTGCTCTCAGCAGAGACAAACAGCACCAATTAATAAACCAACCACAGCTATTAAACAGCCTCACAGCAGGAAGAGCTGTTCCACAGCTGCTTTAAGCCTCTATATTCTATCCCCAGTCAACTTACAAGCAGTTGCCACTTGCTGACACTCAGCAGCCACCTAGTAATATTTTCAGGTAAATCTTGATATCAGTGGTCTAACAGGTGTCCCACTGGAATTACACCAGCCTACTTTCAATTACTTCATTAATCCCCCAAGCAGGATCAGAATTGAGGGGAAAAAAAACCAAAACTTTCAACTGCTCCCACCCACTGTTCTCAGAGAATTTCCAGTCAAACCTTTCCTGACTGCAAAT